CCGGCTATTTTTGGAAATCCCAGAAGATACTTTAATTTGGAGATGGGAAAACTTTACTTTCGCATGGGTTTGGCCAGAACAGGTGAGTCAACTCTAATTAGAGACATATTTATTGAATTTAAATCAACTTTTGACACAAAAATCCCAGGTAAAACGTAGATTCTGCCTTATGACTGTGACATGAACCACAAATATTCAAGAATGCACCCTATGTACATTTTTAAAACAAGACACAATGAGACACACTAAACAAGTTCTAAGAGGATAACTTATTACTTAGGTACCACACACACACAACCATTCTGTATAGGAGAGGAACAACTTCCAATGTCTGAAGGACGGGGGTGGGAGAATCTCTGGAGTTACGGTGTGAGAAAGTGGATTAGAGATTTATATAAATGAGGGGTAAGATGACAGCTGAACTGAGATTTGTATTAGTGATTTACACTAATACAAATATTTTAGTGTAATGTTTGATAGCCTACAGGCATGTCCAAGATTGCATGCCTGAATACAGTTTTACTGCTTTCAGGCACTTTCAAAAGGAAGTTTTTGCTAATCAGACCTGACTGTCCTATCTACCTAGCCCTTTTTATGGTATTTTATTTAACTGTTCTACTGACCTTTATGGTTTGCCAAGCATTCTTTGGAAGTCCAAACACGTTTTAGGTCTATTCTAACAACTTCAGGTTCCAACCACTGGTTGGAAAGCAAACATACAAAACACCAAAACAAACAAAATGGAAGTATCCCACAACTTCAGGTTTAGAAATCTCTTCCAGGAAAAGTCAAGACTCCTGAGTAAAAAAAAAAAAATTAATTTTCTAACATGTAGCTTAAAATTATGTTATAGTTTTCTCTCCTTCCACAATTTAGTGAATACCTATTTTCCATGTAACAGCGTTGTGAAAACCACTGCTATACACATATTACTAGAAGAAAATATGTCCACTTAAAGAAAAATTCTAAGTAAGGCACACCTTTTGACCTGTCAAAGAACCAGGACCTTACTACAACAACTGTTTCCCTTATGTAAAATACACTCTTTTCCTTTGGGCAAATTTTCACCTCCACAAGCACACCACAAGTAACATACTCAGGTGCTTTCAACTAAGAGCTCTGCTAGTCAGAAACCAGTCATTTTGCAGTCCCTAAACAGTGCAAAGTTCCCAGCGATTCTTTTCTTTAGTCACTGAGGACTTAAAATTACCATCTGCTTTTCAGTCCAAATACCAATGACTAGTTTTCATAGTATATTCGACTAGTAGAAACTAGAAGCCACAGCTATAGCGTGTGGGCCCAATTCAAACTTTTTTACCCTAAGAAAGCAAGAGTTTAAAAAGATAATCGCACACATATTTGGGTAAAAACATAAAAAGGAAATATTTACCTGAATGTATAAAGGAGGGGCCTGATTAGCTCAACCAAACCAGATTTGGCGCCAAAGCTACACAGTAAATTCGCTAATGTACCAGGAGTTAAGATAGTTTATTTTTAAACCACTTCAAATTTACACAAGTTTGCTAAGGCATTTTAAAAGGTTTACCTGACAATTACCGAGACTTTTAAGGTGGCTCTACCAGAAAGGGAAAAATCTAAGACTGTAAAAACACCCAACTTATTCCCATCAAGCTAAAAAATCTGGTTCTATGGTGCTTTTTATCACCCTTAAAACAAATTCTCCTTAATCTCCAAATAAGCAAGACTCTGCAAGCCTTGCATTGTTGCATCATTAAAACCCACACCCAGCAGCCAAGCTTTACTTCGGGCTGTTTAAAACCTGGGAACTGTTTTATTCCTGAAATTTAATCAACCCTCGCCGAACTCCACACCCGGGAGGTGGAGACTTTAAAAAGAAGAAAGAAAAAAAAAGACCGGCACAAGTGGTCCACAGAATCAGAATGCCTCGAAACAAAGGAAATAACGGCGCCATAAATTGTTGCCTGCCAATTTCTCCTATACAATCCCGTGGAAAAATATCTACTCAGTAAAATAAGAAAATCTTAGACCTAGTGGTCTGTTTTACTTGCATACTCTGATAACGAGTTTTTGTTTTAAAGCCCCTTCGGTGCCAAAGAAAAGCGCTCCATGTAGGCCTAACACAAAACCCTAGTGCAATCTCAAACTAACGGGCCGAGAACTTAGTCTACCTCAGATTAGTTCTCCCCATCCTAAAAGAAGCCCCAAGAACACAATAGATTCCATCCTTTGGGTCCATAAGACGATCCTTTCTTAACCTAAAAACCAGGTGAAAGACCCCAAAGAACGCCATTTTTCTTTTTCTAATTCTCCAAGTAGCCCTGTAAAGTGCGACCCCAGCCCGCGTGGACGCGCGGCTCCGCCGCCATTTTGTGCCTTTGGCAGCGCGCCCAGCCCGCCACCCCAAGATGGCTGCGGCTAGGCTTCGCAGGAGCAACGGCGAAACAAGATACCGCTCCCCTCCCCCAACACCGAGGGGACGCAGCGGCCATTTTTACTCCCCCTTATAACAGAAAAAACCGCCGACTCGCGTACGAGGCCACATAAACCTGCCTGTGGCATTCTTCACGAATAAAAACACTATCCACAAAGGCTTTTTCAACCCGACTCCAATCCTCCGGGCCTTAGACTTCGGAGCCGAAATAGCCCGTCTCCCGGTCCAAGGCCGATGGGCCTGGAAAGAGATGTAAGAAGATGGGACCACACAGCCGCCCCCTACAGCACCTCTACGTACCCGCTCGCCGTAGTTCTGCTCGCCGCTGTCGCTCATGACTCCTAGCTGCTGCCGCCGCTCAGCTCGATGTGCTTCACTCGAAGCTGTCAACCTCTTGCTCCTTCTTTATAGAGGCCTCGCCGCAGCCTGCCAGAACGAACTAGTTTCCAAGCCGCTGGGAACCGGACTGCTCCGCACCGCCTCCACACGGGCTCTAACTCTCCCGGATGTGACGCAGCATCTTTAACCAGGCTCCGCCCCCTCTCGGAACGCGCGCTTTGTTGGCCCCGCCCCTCGGCGTTCGTTTCCCCGTCCTGCAAAGGAGCACGGCGAACCGGATGTGACGTGACACCACCTTTCGCGGAGCCCTGCCCCCATCGGTGTGTCTGTGAGGCGGGAAAGCGAGCATCCTGGTTGGCGTCTGTGGTGTTCGCCGCAGGCTGCCGTGTTGCCGCCAGGTAACGCCGGACTCCTTTCTAGAACTTCCCAGGGACACCGTCGTAGGCAGGGAAAGGAAGGAGATGTCCGCGGTTTCTCCCATCTTTAATTTATTTTTTTGTGCCCTTTTTTGGTTGGAGAGGCCAGATATCCGTGTACTGGGTTCTGTACTTTACATTTATTTAGCCTTCATTGTAGCTCTTTCCTTGTTGAATAAACGGTCATTTGATCAAGTATTAAGCGCCAAAGCACTTTACCAGATCTAGATGCACTGAAATCAGGTAATCTCTATTCCCGAGAATGTAAATACACATTTGTAAACTGATTTTAAGTGCTAGAGGCACGTACAACTATAGTAATGTCACAAGGAGGGAAGGTTAGTTATGCCATCACCCAAACAGTATAGTACAATATTGCCCCTTACCTGTGGTTTCACTTCCCATGCTTTCAGTTACCTTTGGTTGACTGTGGTCTGAAAATATTAAATGGAAAATTCCAGAAATGAACAAATCAAATTTTTAACTGTGCACCATTCTGAGTAGTGGGATGAAATCTCATGCCATCCTCCTCTGTCTGGCCTGGGATGTGAAGCGTCCCTTTGTCCAGCCACTCCAGGCTGTATACTCTCCCAGCATCGCAGTGCTTGTGTTCAAGTAACCTTTTTTTAATTTAACAGTGGTCCCAAAATGTAAAAGTAGTGAGGCTGCCAAGAGAAGCCATGAAGTGCTTCCTTTAAGTGAAACGGTGAGTGCAGTACAATATAGTGTTTTGAGAGAACCACTTTTACATAACTTTTATTAGAGTATATTGTTATAATTGTTCTCTATTATTAGTTACTGTTGTTAATCTCTTACTTTGCCTAATTTATAAGTGTAACTTTATACATAGGTATATATGTATGGGGAAAAACTGTATACGTAGAATTTAGTGCTTTGTGTTGTGTCCGGCATCCAGTGGGAGCCTTGGGACATAACCCCTGTGGATGGGGAGGTGGTGGTGGGGGTGCTACTGTAGTGTAAAGAGCCCAAACTTGGAAGTTAAGACCTCTCTGTACCTGTTGTTTCCCCTTCCATTAAAGTAAATTTTGGTACCTGGCTGATGAGGTACTTTGACATAGCATTTATTTTTAAAAGATTTGTCCCTTCACCTATATTTCCTAAGCCTCCTTGGTAGCCTCCCCCTGCCAATTTACCTCGAACAGGAAAAACACTCCTTCCCCAAACCCCTCTGCCGATTATTATTTTAGAGTAGGGGTCAGAAAACTATAAAGGGGAGATAGTAAATATTTTAGGTTTTGCAACCCTGTTTCATCTACACAGCTCTGCTGTGGTGCTGCAAGAGCCCACTGCAGACAACAGTAAGTAAATGGGTGTGGCTGCCTATGATCCATGGCTCTAGTTTACCAATCACTGATTTTCAGTACCAAAATTAAATCTACTTATATAAAATACATAGCAAGATAAACAATAACTTGGGGCTTAAAAGGTACGTAATTTTTTCCCTTTTATGGAGTCCTTTAGGAAATGCATCATGTGATGTGTAGGAAGCATCCTCTACTTTAGATATATTTGTACAGTTTCCTTCTTTTCTTACCATGACATATTTATTAAGAAAGGGTAATTTGGAGCCCAGTGCATGACATGTACTGGAGTCCAGTACATCTTTGGGGATGTACATTATTTAAATAGAAAGTGAGATTACTTCTAGCATTATAGGAACCCCAGCTCCCAAATAATAATGACTTCTTTGTAGCAGCAAGCGCCTACAGCATGCCTCCAATGTTATACATTAAAGGGCAGTAAGTTCTCCCTGGCAGTTGTTGCAGCAATTGAAAGTCATATTTTCATATCTAGTATAGGGATGAAATTGCCCAATATTTTTCTTTGTAGCAAGTAAGGTGGTTGGTGAAGACTCAGAAAATGGATTATCAGGTGAGCTTTCCATACAGATAACTGGGTCCAAAATGCGTATAACTGGTTCAGCCACTTTTGCCACTGGAGTGCTGCAGAATTCAACTGTTGGTGGAATCATTTTTTGACTGTTAGTTCCATCATTTCCCAGAAGATGAGCATTTACTGCTTTTGCCAGCTCGTGATTTGTTAATGCTAGTTCTGCTCTGCTGTGAGGTTGTGTGCTAGGTTAGTGAGTTTGCTCTCTTTAGATTTCACATATAAATGAAATCATATTTGTCTTTTTCTGTCTGACTTACTCATTCTTTTTTATGGCCAAGTAATATTCCACTGTATATATAGTACTGGAATATTTACCTGGATATTTCAGAGGCTTATAAAAATTAACACGTTCAAATCGAAATTAAAATAATCATTTTAATATTCTACCTCTCCTCTGCCCTCTAAATGTCTCTGCTAAAACTTTTTCTCTCTTCCCCTCCTCATCAATTCTATTTCTTGTACTTTAAAAATTTATCTTTTCCTCTCTGTATCTCCTGCCTCACCCCATCCTGTCACCTTTTGTTAGGGCCTCATCAACTCACTTATCTGGAGAATTGTAAAGTATCTTAAAAACGAAATTTGATTGTTATACCTAGTCTCTTTCAGTGGTCCATATAAGAACTAAAAAGAGAGAATAGGAAGTGAATAACCCGGAACTTACAGCAGTGACAATGATGTTAGAGAGGAATGAATGGACATGACTTGCTGTGCTAGTTGCTCCAAATTCATACATTTTGGCTGCTCTATGAAAGTAGATCAGGGCCCTTTAAGTATGTTTCTCTGCCAGCTGGCGCTGAAGCTTTATCAGTATAGGGCATTGAATAGGCATTACAGGAGGAAAGGGTTTATTTCCTAGTTCTAGTGCACATGTTCCACAGGCTCCTGTAGCACGCAAGTCTTTCTCAGTGACCAGCTCTGAGCTTCTGCAGTGTGCCCACAGTGTCTTCAGAGTCCAGCTCCTGCATTGCCAGGCTCCTAGCAGCCAGCAGCTTCCTCCAGGGCGCCCACCCTCCACCCTAACCAGGTTTTGAAGTAGAGGCCTCTGGCTCCTACAGCATTTGCAGCTTCTCCAGTGCCCAGCTCCTGCAGTGTACAGCACCCAGCAGCACCCAGCAGCTGGTGGCTTCTCCTGGCATTATATCAGGTGGTTTTATAGGTGAGACACTGCCCCATGAACAGCTTTCCTTGGCATCCTAGAGGGAAAATTTCTGAAAAAATTCTAGAGGGCAGATTTCTATTAAGTTCTACCAGCGTATCACCTCAGCAACTTCTCTGTCATCAAATGAGCCATGGCCATATTCTATTAGATGAAGCCTGGACCTCAGATTTTGAGGGGAAGGAGGCCTTTCTTGGGTGTCTATTTCAGACCTAGGGGTAAGGCTTCTCTTTATATCTGCAATTCCTCTATTCTTCAGAGATCTCTTTTCTTAGTAATTAATTCTTTGTTATGCCTATCCCCAGCTGAAGTTAATTCTTTATATTAAACTTTCTCTGTTCAAATTACTGTGTTGTTTATCTCTCTTGATTGAACCCCTAGTGATTCAGAATTGCTGCCCGGAGTGGTTTTCAAGATACTGCTGGGATGCAGAGTTGAAGGAGAGAGAAGCTACATAAACTTCTAGGTTCTGCCCTGGCTGGGTGGCTCAATTGGCTGGAGCATTGTCCCTTACACCAAAAGGTTGTATGTTGATTTTATATGCAGAAAACTTACTGAACTTACTAGTTCTAATAGTTTTTATCTAGATTCTATTGCTATTTCTAGATAGGTGATACATTCCTTTGTAAATAATGATAGTGTTATCTCTTCCTTTCCAATTTTTATACCTCATTTATTGTTATTACTTAATATGAGGTAGAAGGAGGAATCTAAAGATTTAAAGAAATGGGAACATTGTAGTGTATTTCTCTTTTTCAATCTGCTCATCTACCCTCTAGCTATGTCCTGAGAGAACTCAGGAGACAATTCTCTAACTAAAGCACTGAGAAATACTTTCATGAAATGAATACCAACTTTAAAAATGGACCTATAGAGATTGTTCTTTGTCAATAGATAGCTTCTGTGGGTAATATGATGTAGAGGATGACTCAGTATTCCTAATTTAGACCAATTAAGCAAATGCCAAATAGCCAAGATACTCCTGGAATTATTGTAGTTGTTCTGGAAGTCCTGGCCATCCATCCACAGGACTCAGAATCACCCCATTGACATTTTAAGAAATTAGATCACTTCCACCAGGTGGTGCCACCTCAACTGGAACAGATGTACTTGGAAAGCATTGGACCTGGATCTATGGATCCATACTTGTTCGGCTCACAGCGAACATTTTATTAGCTTCTCAATAATATGTTCCTGCGTTTTTGGCAATTAATGTTTTGGATTTGACTTCTTGTGGTTTGTTGGAGTTTTACCATAGAAACTTACCATATTTATTATTTACAATAATCCCTGTATTGTCTCTCTGACCTATAGAATAAGAGTTATTATGGTAGGAAGGCCAAGTAGAAGCCCCTGGAATTCTTCTTGTCTATCAACATAGTGACATTTTGTAGAACCACAGACATTAGTGCGAACGTCAGAGACACCTGAAACACAAAGATAGTGGTCCCTATCTTAGACCCACTTAACTCAAAAGTTTGACAGTGCAAAAGGCAAATGAGTGTTAGAGAATTACAGTGGATCATTTTAAAGTTAATTAGGTGATAACACTAATTGAATTCGCTATTCCAGTTAGGGTCTTCTTTTTGGGGGAAATAAATATAAGTCGTGGTAACTGGTCTCTAGCTATTGATCTAACAAATTATATTTATTCTTGATTCCAATAAACTGAGAGCATCTTTTTCCTAGAAGGGGCAGCAGTACAACTTCATTGTCTGCCATCAAGGTTAGATTGACTCTGACTCTGAGCTATAGGATCCTTTATTGTTTCATCAGCCCACAGGCTGTTACACACTAGTCTACTACATTGATGACATTAGGATGCAATGACCTATAGAACTGGAAACAGTTATCCTAGATGCCTTTGAAAAAGCAGTTATGCCAGAGGGTTGGAGAAGAATCCCATAAAATTACAATGGGGTGTCATCCCAGTGACGTTTGTGGGGACCAGTTTGTTTCCTTCCAAATGGAAGGACTAACAGTTGCACCACTAAGAAAAAGGATAATTCTTGGTGGGTTGTTCACTAGTCTTGCCAAATCTGATGGTAAAAGTTCATGAAAAACTATAGTAGCCCTACATAGGCAGATGTAATTCTAAGATGTAATTTAATTCTCCTAAGAATTCAAGTCATAAAATAAAGGTTTGATCATCTGGTGCTACTGGCTATATGCAAAGATAACAATGGGTAGTTGAGAAGGCAAGTTATAAATACCAACTATGGCCTTGGATTAAATTTCATTTTCATGTACATATTTATATATTTTGAACCACTTTTTCTCTTTGTTCTCCATTTCCCTGAATATTTGAATATTTGATATAGAGAAAAAGATGCTTGTTAAGTTAATTTAAAGGAGAGTGGACAAATTTTTAAGATGGAATCTAAGAGAATTTAAAGACAGATGAGCATTATCCCAAGATGATCCTGGGTGCAATAATTGAGATTTTGGTTTAACTACTTTTAAGAGGGGTTAAAGATATAAGAGGTAGTTGTATTATGTTAGATGTTACTGTTTTAAAAGTAGTGTAAGTGAGGGAAGAAACATATATGTTGATTTTGGGGGGACCAAAAGGGTAGACTGTGGTGGAAATTTCTCTCTCTCATGGTCACTTAGCATCTGAATTCCTTTCCCATGTTTTGGGGAATCTTTGCATGCAGCAGAGCCTGATTCTATTAGAGAAGTCAAGGATCCCAGATACTTGCTTTCCCCACAGGTAGGTACCGCCCAGCCTTGGAATCGGAAGTTAGTGATGCAGAGGAACAATATTGTCGAGAATACGTTCAAGAAATGGGTAGAGGCCACAGCAGCAGCTACATGTAGTTACCACAGGCAGCAGGGTAGCAGTTCTAATTCTCCTGGTTCATGTCCAGAGTTCGTAGTGTTGGTGGTTATAAGCTGTGATGGCTACACTCAGTGGCAGCAGCCATGGTGTCTTTGCCAGAGCAGTTCTGTGATATCATTTCGAGATATGTCCTGGCTGCTAAACCTCTCTGAGCTTCATTCTCAGCATTTCTGAAGATTCTGAGATTGTCCCATATCCTTTGAACAATTTCCATGATCAGTGTCTGTTGTTTGCAAATAAGAATTCTGATTAATAAAATCTTGAATGTACTACCATGCTTTAATTGTCTTACTTACCTTTATTTTGGTTGATTTTATTCTTCTCGGTAGGTACTAAATTGTTCATAAAGAATTATCTCAGTGGTGTAAAGAAAATATGAATTAAAAATATGAGACCAAATATGCTAAGTGTGGTTCCCTCAGAGTAGTGATAATATGAGAAAAATGTTCCTCGTTCTTTACACTTAACAGAATTTTCCAAAATTTTATCATGGCAATGCATTATTTGATAAAAAAGAAAAATCCATTAAAATATGAGAAACAGTAACAAAAGCAAAGAACTTCATCTAAACTTTTTAATGCTTAAGACAGTCATAGGCTTGTAAAGCTTTTTCCTTTACTAGGAATATCTTTCTTACCCAGCTCAACAATCCTAATCCCTATCTAAGCTGGAATACCTGGCCTTTCATAAGCTCTTCCCTTGATTTTGTTGCTTTATCTAGCTTCTCTCCAAGTGACAAGTGATCTTTCCCTTTTCAGAACATCCATAATTTAGCTTACATTTTACTATAGTAATATTGAGAAATTGTTGAAAACTTACCATGTTCCTACTTTTCCTGGTAGGGGTTCACCTAGTTAAAAAGCCAAAGTTTTTGGTTTCCACCCAGTGTAAATGTTTACAGGCTGGTACCTGCCCATTTTAGCTTTTCCTGTTCAGTCACTTCTTGTTTTTCCTATAGATTATTTTTAAAGTAAACTTTCTAATGAAATATAAACACAGAGAACACTGTACAGATCTTAACTATACAGCTTGACAAATTTTCACAAAATGTACTCACACATGTGATCAACACCCAGATCAAGAAATAGAACATTACAAAAATTAGAAAGTTAAAAAGGCAAAAGTGTAAAATAAAATAAAAATAAATAGAATCTTATACCCCTACAGCAGCCCCAAAAGAAGCCCCCTTAAGCTCCTTCCAATCACTACCCCTAAAAGTAACCACTATTCTGATGTCTATCACCATAGATTAGTTTTTTCTTCTTTTGAATGTTATAGAAACTAAATCATATGCTGGGTCACCAATTTTTAACCTTTTTTATCTCATGGCACACATAAACTAATTACTGAAATTCTGCGGCACACCGAAAATATGTATTTTTGCCAATCTGACAAAAAAATAGGCATAATTTTGATTCATTCACATGATGGCTATTGTTATATTGACTTGTTATTTTTTCATTTGACAACCTAAGGAAAAGAGGTTGGTGCCCCTGACTAGTCATGTTTTAAAAGTTTTTGCAGTACACCAGTGTGCCGTGGCACCCCGGTTGAAAATCACTGTGCTAAGTATTCCTTACTCTTTTGTTCAACATTTTATTTGTGAGATTTTTCCAGGTTGTTGCATGTTGTAATGGTTTATTCATTCTTGTTGCTATGTGGTATGTCATTGTGTGAATCTACCACACTTGATCCATTCTACTCTTGATGGACATTTGGGTTGTTTCCAACTGTGGGCTACCACTAACAGTGCTGCTGTGTCCTCAGAGGCTTTTAAATTTTTTTAAGTCGGCTTAAAAAATGTGTGTGTCATAGTACTAGGCTATAATCAAAGTGTAAGACCAATACTGTCATGTCATGCCCGATCCTCTGTCTCTTCCACCAATATATTGCATAAATAAATGAAAAAAGCCAGTCAGAGAAAGACAAGTGTCACATGATCCTACTCATATGTGGAATCTAATGAACAAAATAAACCGATGAACAAAATACATCCAGAGACAGAGAAGCATGAATAGACCGATGAATCTCAGAGGGAAGACAGGGGTGGGGAGAGATTAACCTAAGAACTTATATGCATATATGCATAACCCATGAACACAGACAAGAATGTGGTGAAGGCCT